TTTTTTTTTTTTTTAATATATACTCTTCCTGGGGTGCCTTGGTGGCTCACTCAGTTGGGTGCCCGACTCTTGGTTTCAGCTAGGGCCCTGATTGTCAGGGTCCTGAGATCGAGGCCCACATAGAGGGCCTCTCCCCCGAGTTGGGCTCCACACACAGCATGGAGTCTGGTTAAGACTCTCTCCCTCTGCCACTCCCCCCGCTCCCCCCCATGCACACTCTCTCCCTCTCTCCCAAATCTTAAAAATGTGTGTGTGTGTGTTACACACCTTTGAATTTAAAGAATGGTTTTCACATTACTGTTGTCATCCTTTCAGTGTCTGGGCTAACTCAGAATTACAACCCTGTCTTCAGACTCTAGATCTTTGTGAGGAGATGAATTACTGTTTAAATATTTCTTGCTGTGGGACGCCTGGGTGGCTCAGTGGGTTAAGCGTCCGCCTTCGGCTCAGGTCATGCTCCCAGGGTCCTGGGATTGAGCCCTGCGTTGGGCTTCCTGCTCAGCGGGGAGCCTGCTTGTCCCTCTGCCTGCAGCTCCCCTTGCTTGTGCTCTCTGTCACTCTGACAAATAAAATCTTTGAAAAAAAATGTTTCTTGCTCTGATGGTTTAGTCTGCTTTGTGCAGAATATATTTAACAATGACTGTTGCTGTGGGGGAGATTTTGAGGCTGTCCTTTCTCTTGCACCCTCAGGGACTAGAACATCTTAAAGCTAATCAAACTCCATTTAGTGGAAACGGTAATGGCGGTACAGTTTCTTTAGCAGATTCCTCTCAGCAGTTACTGTAGGCTCTGTCAGCTAGTCAGCTAAGTGCTTTAAAGCAAAAGCTGGCTGAGGATCAATAAATGGAAATAAAGCCAACCTGAGATGATCCCACCATGGGAAAATGGGGGGAAAAAGTGACTATCATCTAATAATTACATATTTAGAAGAAGAAAAATGATTTCCTTTTGGACATTTGGAACTTTTTTTTTTAAAGATTTTATTTTTGGGGGCACCTGGGTGGCTCAGTCGTTAAGTG